CATAAAGGGTCACATAAAATAATATGCTTTGCTGATGTGATTAAAGTTATAGACCTAGAAATGGAGAGATTCCCCTGGATTATCCTGGTGGCCCAATATAATCACAGGATGCTTTCAAGTGGAAGAGGGAAGCAGGAGAGTCAGAGGCAAAGAACCTGAAAGATGGAAGCAGGAGAACTTGGCTCAAGTTGTTGGCTGGAGGAACGGGTCATGAGCCAAGGAAAGGTGTGCCTTGAGAAGATGAAGAAGGCAAGTAACCAGGTTGCGTTGTCCCCGAGAGCCTCCAAGAAGGACCGCAACCCCGCCGACAGCCTTATCTTAGCTCAGTGAATGCTGTGTCTGATTTCTAACCTACAGAACTGTAAAGCGATAAATGTGTGTTGTTTTAAGCCATCAGGTCCTTGGGGATTGACTATAGCAGCAAAAGAAAATGAGTACGCACAGTGCGCCAGGCCCCGAGAACTTTACATGCGTTCTTTTATTTAGTTTCTTGGCGCCTTGGAGGTAGATAGTATTCATCTACATATTTCTGATATGGACACTCCATCTTACCCACAGTCTCATGGCAGGTAAGAGACCAGAGAGAGGACTTGAGCCCCACGCACTTAGAGCTGCAAAGGAGTGGGAACTGTGGGGTGCAGGGAATGGGGTGTCGGCAGCAGCAAGAAGTCAAAGGAGTTTCTGAGACCTCTATTTGTGTCTGAGAAACTACATGATGCAAATTCTGCTGAAATGACTTGGAAATGGTAGGCTGAGAGCTTGAGGAAAAGGGTAAAATTGGGACTAGTGTTTCCTTGATTGTAAGATGACATGAATTATAAAAAATGCCATCAATGTAATAAAAATTGGGGGGGGCATTGTCATATTAAATATGCACGTAGATTATACAGCACACCTTAATTAAGGTGCTTTAAAAGATTTTTAAGTGAATCGTAGAATAAGGGAAATAGGGCCCTTGTTTTAGGTGGTCAGAGGGGTGCTGACCAGCATCCCAAAACAGAGCTTTGCGTTTGCCTGGAGTCCACATGTGAATGGACCACCCAGGCTGGAAAGTGTCGAGCACCACTGTGCATCTGCTCGAGTGCTGGGCACCATGACATAAAGGTAATGTGACATGGGGCTCACTGTCAAAAAAAGACACGCAGTAAAGGTCAAGAAGAAGAGGTGATTGATTCAGAATGGAGGGCAGAGGTCAGAGAAGTCCTCACCTGTGAGTCACGGGTCTTGAAGGTTACATGGAAGGTCAGCAGGCTAAGAATGAGGGCGAGACATTTCACAAAGGAAGAACAGGAGTAGGGTGGCAGGCGTAGCTAGTATGACCTGTTGAGAACTGTAGGGTTGGCTAGGATGTTGGATGAGGCAGGAGAAACAGGAGATGATGTTTCAAAGGCAGGCAGAGCTGAGGATTTGTGGCCTTGAGGAGCCTCAGGATGATACCAGGCGAGGGAATTAAGTGATCAGATTGGCTTTTTGGATTCCTAGGTGAAGAGGCTGCCATACGGCCAAAGCTATACCACTGCCTGGCCCGACACCACGCCCCTCCTGCAGGCTGTATGAGCAGGGTGCGGTTGGAGGACTCCAAGCCTGGCTGCTCCTGGTTTCTCCATCAGGACACACTGGGAGGGGGTCAGCTCCCAGCAGCAATGCCAGTTCAGAGGCCACCACAATAAGTCAGGCAAGAGGAAGAAAGTGAGTCTGGGTGGGACCAATTTGCAGGTAATTGAGGAGATAACATCCAAGGAACTAGATGGCTCATTGGAGGAGGAGCTCAAGGATTTCCCCTATCCTGACTCAGGGAAGTAGTGGAAGGGACTCGGACACATGAGAAGATTTGGTGAGGTCAGTCAGGGTCCCGTGGGACAGACAGGATGCTGTGTGGTCTAGGTGGGCTCAGCTTCCTGCTCAGAACCCAGGACTTGGCCAGGGTGGGGAGGAGGAGAGTGGGGCGGGGAACCACCTAGGTTCCCCCCGCAGCCCAGCATCCTCAGCTGTGCCACATCCCTGTGCCTACGCTCCTCACGTCTGCCGTGGGGGTAATACCGCCCAGGTGGTTGTGAGGGTTAGAGGATAATGCGTGTGCAGGGCCTCAGGCACACAGCCGGCTCGGGTAGATGCCCAGTGACCATCAGCTGCGGTCATTACAAGAGCCACCTAATAGCTCTCTGCTGGCTGAGACCAGGACTGTGTATAAGTAACTACAACCAACAATATGAGTCAGTGAGACATGAAAGGGAAATACTATGTGATCCCACTTATAGGAGGTACCTAGAGTGGTCAAATTCATAGACAGAAAGTAAAGTGGTAGTTGTGAGGGGCTGGGAGGAGGGGGATGGAGAGCAGTTATTTAATGGGATAGAGTTTCTGTCGGGGAAGATAAGACAGTTCTGGAGCGGGATGGTGGTGATGGTTGCAGGGCAATGCGAATGTGCTAACGCCACAGACCTGTACGCTTAAAAATGGTTAAAATAGTGGGTGTTACGTATATTTTGTCATAATTAAAAATGAAAAAAAAAAAAGACTATGTGAGTCAGCACTGGAAAAAGAATTGGCATGAGAAGAGATGGTTGAGATGAAGGTACTTTAAAAACACTCTCATTTTACCTGTGCAGAGAGAATTTATAAGTAGCAATGCGGTCTACACCACAGGTTATCAAACCAGAAGCGGATCACCCATGCAGCTCTGGGCCAACACTCAGAGTCAGCGACGCCAAGACTCCTGAGAGCAGCGCCCGCCCTGAAGAAGCTGCAGCCTACGCCCGAGGCCGTAATAGAATGAAGGCGAAAGTGCTTTAGGAACCAATCACTCTAGAATGTAGATGGACTTCTGGTTAGAGACTCCTGTTGCCTCTCTCCCTGCCTGTGGTCTGGGGGTGCAGGGTTCCTTGCCAGGAACCCCAGCTTGGCTTATCCGTAGACCTAGACTTGGGCCTGGAGAAGGTGTCCTCTTGCTGCTACATTCTATGAGCTTCATGCCTCTGCCCCCATTCCCAATATATTCAGTGACATTTGTCCTCTCCCTATGACCCCAGTTGATCTCACAGAGGACCCTCCCAGAGGCTTCCTCTCCCCGCCCCGCACACACACACACTCCTTCTTTTTTCCCTCCAATCAAAAAACCCCAGTGCACATTTCTGTACTCCATCTCGCGATACCCAGCTTTCCTCTCACGTCAAGCAGGAGCTGCTACTGTGGATGGCTCTGGGCCACCCGCATGTGTCCAAGGTACAGCTGACCTCTTGAACTCAAGTACTGAGAGTCAGAAGCTAGGCCTCACTCAGTGGGCATTTCTGTGCAGCCGGACCCCAGATATGAATTAAATCGCCAGATCAAACTGCGCTCTTTTCTTTCCTCTTCTTTCCCACCTTCGCACTCCAGGCATCCCATTCAAAGAGGTCCCTGGCCTTTGGGCTGCACCAGCTTCACTTTGGCCCCGGAGGCTGTCTGCGGGGCTAAGCTGGCTGCCGGCGGAGAGCCCCAGGCACACAAATCCTCCTGGGCGGTGCTAGCCCAGCTGGGCCACGGTAGGACAGAGGACAGGAAGCCAACTGTCTGACTTCTAAGAGACCCAAGAAGTCAGCCAACTATCTGACTTCTAAGAGACCCAAGAAAACACAGACCAGTTTTGACTGCTCTGGAGGCAGTGAGGAAGGCTGGACAATTGTCCCAGAGATGAAAGGACGTGCCCAAGGCTGCAAAGCTGCCAAGCAGGAAGGCCAGGACTCTGCTCCAGGAGGCAGGCAGGGGACAAAGCCTGGAGGGGCCCTTGGAGACATTTCTGGATCCCAGGTCACTCCCTTCAGCTGGCTCAGTCCGGTCAGCTGTCCCTCAAGCCCAGGGGTGGCTGCGCTCTCCTCTTTCTTAGCTTCCAGCATCCGCAGCCCCCACCGAGGTGTCTCCCGCAAAGGCAGCTTCTCTCTCCTAAGACAGAGGGGCTAGCACTTCCCCCTACACCCTGGGGCTGGACTGGGAGCCATGGGGGGTGAGCTTTTGGGAGACCCCCCAACCCAGCGCTGGGGCACCTCCTTTCCACCAGATACCCTGCACCACATGACACAGCCAGGGCACGGGGAGAAAATATGTTGGTGGCACTGGTGGGGTTGTGAAGGTAGAACAGCCTCTTGTGTTCTAAGTAAAATTTGAAGGACAAAAAAAAAAGGAAAACCAACCACGTGAGATAATTTCTGCAGCTACGACCAAAACCCAGGAGACCAAATCAAGGAATGCTGAATATCTGCCACAGAGTTCCTCAGCTCCCGGTCCTTGACCCAGGATGCCAGGGCCCTGCCTGGACATGGCTGCTTGGCAGCTCCACAAGCTTCTTGTCTGGGCCTGTGGGGAAGGGAGGCGAGCCCAGCCCCAGCCCTGCCTCCTGCCCTTGACGTCCCACAGTGACCTTCTAAGTTCTGCTCGCTCCGAGTTGGGTCCTCTACTAGGTCTCGCATTCATGCTGCCTCAGGCCAGCCGGAGCAGAGGCACACGCACAAGGAGACCCTGTCTCCTCGGTATCTTTCCAGAAAGATTCCAACCCCATCATTCCCCCTTCTCCCCTCTCCTCCGGCCTTCCCCTCCTCAGCTTCCCCCCTGCCCTGAGACAACACGCACAACTGCAGCCATGCCGGCAGCCCCAGTGCTGGGCCCCGAAAGGAACAAGAGGACCGCGGAGGCAGAGAGCGGCGCGCGGCCCCACGTGAGCAGGAGTGCTGCACATGCAGTCCCCCAGGCGAACACATCCAAACACAACACAGCCCATCCCCTGTGGGAAGGACCAGAGCCTGCAGCCCACCCTGACAGGTCCTTCTGCCGGAAGTGCCAGCCAAGCTTTCCAAGCTTGAGTTCTGTCAAAAAGACCCCTGTTCAAACCAAATGCAAACGAAGACCAGGCTTGAAAAGTCCCTGAGCAGACAAAACCAGTTAGTCATGCAAGCTAGATTTAATGTAGCTAACTTTGCAAGACAAATGAGGCTCACTTGACCTGGATCCCTTCCTGCTTATGCCTCTGAATACCATAAACAAAACTTAAATGGTTACCAGAATTATTATGAGGTAACCATTCACAGGTTCCCCTTCTTTAAGAAAATTCTAATATTGTAAGCAGTCGGCGAGCGCAATCCACAGTCACTGCCTACACACTACAGAGGCCGCTTTGTAACAATAGGCCTCTGAGCCTCGCTGGCTCCCCGCTCTGGTCTGAGTGCTCCCAATCTGCATACTGCCTTTGTGCTATGTGTACAGTAACGACTTGCTAGTTCCTACCTCAGTGATTTTTTTGGTTTTCTGTTTTGTTTTCCTTTCCTGAACTTTTGCCACCCTGTGGGGAGCCTGTGGAGCCAGACTGCGCTCTGAGCCCTGGGGCAACATAGCTGTCAAGGTCACTCTGGGAACAGGGAAGAAGGAAGCCCAGGGTCTGAGGCGAGACGTCCTCAGGGCAGCCTTCAGTGCTCAATCAATAGTCTGAACGCATTTTCCATACCTGCAAAAGGAAGCCAATCTTAAGATGGCAGACAATCTTAAAAACAGGAAATAAGAAAGTGCTTGCTGGTCTCTGTTATAATTATGGCAGTGATCACCCAGATTCTCGGGTAATCAACGTGAATTTATCGATCACCTGCTATATGATACAGCAGGTGATTGCTTTCCACACATGGCCTCATGTTATCTTCACAACCACTCTAAGAGGCAGATAATATTCTTCCCATTTGATGGGCAGGGACACAGAGCCTGGGCCTTGAGGTTTATCGCTTTCTCAAAGTTCCATTGCTTTTAAATGAGAAATCGCTCACAGGTGTGGGGCCTCCAAAGGCCCTGCCGTTTTACCACCAGACTCTGCCCCCACTCTTTAGGCAGGAGACATGCACAGGGTCAGAGTGCACATGGATGGAAGAATCAGAACGAGGGTGGCCCTGAGGGTAGGGTGCTGACTCGCACTGAAGGGGTTCACACCCCAAGGTGATCGGTGGTTGGTGTGCGGGAAGACAGAGCTGCCCAGGCCTCACCTGGCAGGTGGGAGAGACAGGTAAGCAAACAAAAGAAACCAGGGCTCTGTGGCCAGCAAGGGGCCACTGGGGTCGAGGTGAGGGCTTGGCACAACTCGGGGGAGGACACCTGATGGGGGGCTGGGGCGAGAAGCAGGCTTCTAAGCGGGGAGGTTCACAGAGGCCCAGGGGCCAGTCTCTGGGAATCCCCACCCCCCACAGAGCAGAGTTACCACCCAGCCAAGTGTGCCTTTTTCTCCTGTAGCTTCCCCGTCCTCACCCTCTATCTCCTTGGGGGCGCCCCTCTTTTCTCAGCCCAAGTCCTTCAGGATCCCCCATTCTTCCACTGGTCCTAAACTTTCTGAGCACTCACATCTTCGGAGAGACCTTTAAAAACACAGATGTGGACCCTTTAAAAACACAGACCAGATTTGACCACTCTGGAGGCAGTGAGGAAGGCTGGACAATTGCCCCAGAGATGAAAGGACGTGCCCAAGGCCGCAAAGCTGCCAAGCAGGGAGGCCAGGACTCCTTAACTTCACACTTGCTTTCCCCGTGTCAGCCCTGAGCATGGCGGTGAGAGGTGCTAAGCACTTCCCCGTAACACATGTTCTCTAGTGTTTGGACTTCTGGGCTCGAGCTCCACCCCGGGATCACTCTGCCCCCTGAGATGACCACCAGTTTCCCACATGATGTCATAAGCACATCCCTCAGCAAAGTCTGACTTTTGGACTTTGGACGATGAAAAATACAGCTTTGACAGCCAGGCTGTAGGGATCCCAAAATAAGTTTCTGAACTTCTGTTGACTGAGAAGCCTGTAAATAGACATAGTTTATGCCCCTCTGGTCAAGCCCAGTGGGCCCTTAGCCTTGGTTGCCCTGTCTTGAATTAAAAATAAATAATAATGATATATAACTTACAAGGATTTTGCGAGGATAACTAGAAATAATACCTACAAAGAATAACGCGTAGCCGAGGATCCAGCGTCCAGCTGTTGCTGGAGTAATCATGGTCTGCCGCGGGCCAGGCAGTGTCCCAGTGTGGGGGACAACGGTGTGTCCTCACAGCGCTCCCAGTCCAATGGGGATCCAAGCAAGCAGAGAGGCAATTAGTGTCCAGAGAGCCCGGAGCTCTGGGGACACGGAAGAGAGGCACTTCACCCACCTGGGAAGATATAGCAAGACGCTACCGTCAGTCAGGCTGAAGGGGAAGGGAGGCAGGGCCGTGGAAGGGTATTGAAGGAACAGTGAGTACAAAGAAATGCAAGTAGCTCAGTCCAGCTGGAACAGAACGAGTGTATAGGGGTCCCGGGGCTACCATCACCAAGTATCAGAAACATGATGGGTTAAAACAATAGTTTATCCTCTCACAGTCCCGCCAGCTACACGCCCAAAGTCAAGGTGTCAGCAGGGCCACACTCCCTTCTGAGTGCTCCAGGAGAGAATTCTCCCTTGCTCCCTCCTGCCTCCTGGTGACACCCAGTAGTGCTTGGGGCTTGAAACTATATCACTCCAATCTCTGCCTCTGTCCTTCCACAGCTGTCTTCTCTATGTGGAAGCCGTCTTCCCTTTGTGTCCCTCTGTGTCTTCTCTTCTCATAAGGACACCTGTCATTGGATTTAGGGTCTAACTAACCTAGAATGAACACATCTCGATCTTTACTAATTATATCTGCAAAGGCCCTATCTCCAAATAAGGTTACATTCTGAGGTTCCAGGTAGACATGAATTTGGGGGTCACTATTCAAGGGTGAAAGCAGAGAGAGATGCGATCTCAGAGTACACGGAACACACGGAACACGGACACACACAGACTCTAGACTTCATCAAGGGACACTGGTGAGAAGTGGAGTGTTTTAGAAAAAATGGAAAATAAAAAGTTACAGAATACAATTTAAGCTTTAAAAAGGAACACTGATGCAGGATGGAGCAAAGATTGGGTATGGGCAAAATTAGGTGTAGAAGAAGAAATGAAGATGCTGTTGCAGCAATTCAGTGAGAACTATGTCAATTATCAAGAGATATTTGGGAAACAGAACTGATAAAGTCTAGCGCTGATCTGGAATTTGGAGGAAGGAAAGGAGTCACATTTTGTCCCCAAGTTTCTGACTCAGGCATATAAACAAGGACACATGGGAGGAGGAGGAAGAGGCGTGGAGAGGAAGGAGATGGGAGACCCAAGTGGAGGTATCAGCAAGACTGTGGACTCCGTGCAGTGGACTCAGGCTCAGGGAAGCTCCCAGGGCTGGAGGATGAGCCCATTCAAGGACCCAGCGCCCTGGGGCGAGAGCGGTGTGTAGTGCAGAGAGAGAAGAGGCTTAGAACAGTCCAGAGAAGTACCGACCTTCAGGGGTGGAGCAGATGACGGCAAGAGACACCAGGACAGCAGGCAACTGGAAGTCACACAAAGAGACGATACCCAGTCCTTTCCCTATCTCCCATGCTCACCTCCTGGCCACTTACCTTTTCCACTTTGCCACAGCAAAGAGAGCACTTGCCCGTCCTCTGGTGATGGGAGGAGAGCCCCACAGGCCAGAACGTAAAGTCCCTGATTTATTTACTCAAGCGTGTTCTGGGTTTGGTTACCTAATCACAGCCTAGACTGGGCAAACCTGCTTTTACTTCATCACCTTCCACCTTTAGCCCCTAGTCCCACGACCCTGGGCGATCTGGAACCGTCCACTGTGTCATCTTGTTTCTCTCCAATATGGCAGCTGTGAGCCGAGGTGACTATTGACCATCTGACATGAGGCTGGCCTAAACCGAGGTATGCTATATGTGTAAACCGCACACCGATTTCAAAGACTCGGTGTGCCAGTGAACGTAAAATTAAAGTACAGCCTATGGAATATAGTCAATAATACTGTAATAACTGTGTATCATCCCAGGTGGGTCCTACACTTATTGGAGGGATCATTTTGGAAATTACATAAATGTCTAACCACTACGCTGTATACCTGAAACACATATAAAATAAAATTGAATGTCAACTGTACTTCACAAATTAAAAAATAAAAGAGAAAAAAAGAAATATAAAATACCCCAGAAGTAATTTTATATTGATTACATGCTAAAATTGGGTTAATTTAAATATATTATTAAAATTAATGTCATCTGTTTCTTTGTGTTCTTTTTAATGTGGCCACTAGAAAACCTAAAATTACATATGCAGCTTCCATTATATTTCTAGTAGGTAATGCTGCCCTAGAGACATTCTTTGCTGTGCAAACTTACTTGAACCACAGAACGGTCCTCCATTTCCCCAGGGCCCTGCTGACAGAGGTCACGAGGGAGAAGGCCAGGTCCTACATTGCACTTGGCGTTTCATATTTCACTTTTATCCTCATAACTCATAATAACTGTCATTCCCTCTTCTCCCCTAAATTTTTAGATGAGAAAAGAGACCGAATTTTACTCAAGTCTATGTAATTCCTAAGCCCATAATATTCCTAATGCACAACGTTGTCAAGTTTAATGGTTGATAAGAGTCCTTCGGAGACCCCCTCAGATAATAAACATCCTTTTAGTCTCATATCATTTACATCATCCCATCGGCTCCCAAAGAAAATCTTAGGACCTCCAATATAGGATAGTTCTATTTTTAAATTTTGTTTATACATGGTGGAAAGTGAAAGGGTAGAAAAGAACACAGAGAAAGAGGTCACTTCCTCCCCCTGCCACCCCCCGGCCCCCGCCTGCTCCTCACCTCTGCCACCAGCACACTCTGCAGACTCTCCCAGTGACAGGGATGCACAGAGACCACCAGAAGTGTGGGTGGGCATTAACCGTTTTTCAAAACCTCAGATAGTAGCACAATCCACATATTACTCTTTGTACTTAGCACCTTATCTTGGAGACCCTCCCATAACAGTAATAAAGGTCTGCCTTTAACGGATAGGTTATATTTAAGTGAAAAGCATGTTATAAATTACAAAATATATTTAAGTCAGGAAACCAAGGAATCAGAGGAAATGTGTGTTCTCTTCCACAGCAACAGTGGCAGAACGAGGAGGGGACCCAGGCCACCTGACCGCAGCCAGAGCCTGCTTCCTCTTCTTGACCCCACCAGGGACCCCTCTATGAAATGGCAGGCAGAATTCCTGGCCCATCTACTGTGAAGCTGACCGGGAACTGACCAAGTTAATGAAACCCGGGAAGCACAATTCAAACAAGAAACATCATTACTATTTTATTGTAACTTTTTTTTTTACCATCATTACTATTTTATTGTAATTTATTTTTTTTTACCCGAGTCACAGGTTGTAGAGTTTTGAGCAACATGGACGAGGGCAGACGCATCTGGGCAGCGGGACTTGTCCTCCCCTCGAATCACACCATGGGCTTTATCCACTGAGCCCATCGTGTGGGCCCCCACCTGGTCCTGGCTGTCTCTCTCAAAGGGTCGAAATGTTCTGAAAGGTTCAGGTGTGACTGCCCGGCCCTTCCTCAGGGGAATAGCTGGGAGTCGGCGGCCAGAGGTCCTGGCCGCAAGGGCAGGCCTCCCCAGGAAGGGGGCTTCACACCAGGGCCGAGATGTAAACACAGATAGGCAGCTATAGGCCCTGGGAATCGGGAGCAAGACGAGTGGAAAACTGCCCTCGTCGCAGGAGTGGCTGAGGGTTTCTGTACGGTCGGCCACTGCCCGACATTTTCCAGGCCTGACCCAGATCCGGGCGCTGACTGCCCCAACAGTGGCAGCTCCGGCCCAGGTGCAGGGAGCAAGGTGTACGATGTGAACTGCAGCAAAATGGAGCAGGCCAAGGGGTCTGGCCTGCACCGGCCCTGTGAACGGTTCGAGTGCTACCCGCTTCCCATGGGGCTCATGCCCACAGCATTGGTGTCTGGGACTTGCGTCTCCTTGCTACTTCCTGGGTCTCCCTTGCCTCAGGGTCTTGTGGAAAAAGAAAAGGGAGACACAAATCTCCAGGGAAGAGAAAGCAAACTGAGACTTATCCAAACTCAATCCAGACCACTGGCCACCTGGCCTGGATGCACCCCACACAGCTTGCCAGCTTCTCCACAGTGGCGCCACAGTCCCCGGATGTGCAGGAAACGTATGCTTAAGCTGTGTGAGCGTGAAGGCCGAGCTTCTTCAGGGGCGTCTAGATCCCATTAGAAGGGTCCACAAAGCACAGAGCCTCCAGAAAGTGTGCTTTTCTTTACCCTGGCTCCCCAGCTTGGCAAACATTCACACTGCTTGCAGCCAGGAAAGTGAACCCACCCATCCTGTTGGCAGAGGTGTGGGGAGAGCGAGGAGACGCCTCCCCTCATCTAACCAGGCTCCTCCCCAGCTCGCTGGGGCCCGAGCAGCAACGCTCTGCTCTCAGCGGGCCATGCACTGTAAGCCGGCCAGCCAGCACAGGAGCATTGTTTATACAGAGTCCTGCTTATCTGCGGTTTTGCTTTCTGAGGTTTCAGTTACCCTCAGCCAGCCAGAGTCTGAAACTATTAAATGGAAAACTCCAGAAATAAACAAGTCATAGTTTGAACTTGCACGTCCTATTGAGTCGCTGTGATGAACTCTCCTGCCGTCCTGCTCTGTCCTGCCTGAGATGTGAACATCCCTTTGTCCAGTGTGTTCATGATATATATGCTCCCAGCCTGTAAGCCACTTAGTTGCCAGTCTCCGTTGTCAGATCAGCTGTCACAGTATCCCAGTGCGTGAGTTCAAGTAACAGTATTTTACTTAATAATGGCCCCAAAGCCATTCACATAACTTTTATTAAGGTATATTATTATAGTTGTTCTATTTTATTATTGTTGTTCATTTCTTACTGGATCTAATTTATAAATTAAAGTTTATCATACGTATGTAGGTATGGGAAAAAACAAAGTGTGTATGGAGTTCAGTACTATTTGCAGCCTCAGGCATCTACTGGGGGTCTTGGAACTCATCCCCTGTGGATTGGGGAAGAATACTATATTGCACAAAATAGATAACAATCTGATAACCCATCGATAGAAAGATGTTAAATACATAGTGGTTTTGCCATTTCAAGGAATGTTGTTTAGCCATATAAAATAGATTATATTTATGCATGTTAACAGTTAACTTGAAGAAATTTTCATACTAAATTTTTAAGAATAACATTAGGCATGATGTTTCTCTCCTTTTCTCTTTCTCTCTCTCTCTAAAAAAAACAAAAACAAACCAAAAAAAAAAACCAAAGCAATGAAAAAAATGTCCTTGGATGAGGATAAAAATAAATAAATAAAATTTTTAAAAAAAGAATAACATGATGCACTAAAATATGTATAGAATGGTCCCATTTTAAAAAAGAAAAAAGCACAAGTTAACCTAAGTTGTTTGCTTGCATGCACATAAAGAAAGTCAGGGAAGGATAGACACCAGTCTGTTAATGTTGACTGGTGTCTATCCTTAGAGATGAGGAAAATCAAGGCGAGTTAGAGAGAGAGAGACAGAGACAGAGAGATTCCAAGACAGAGAGAGACAGAGAGGGAGGGAAGCAAAGGGACCCGCTTTTAAAGGGACCTCTCATCCTCATCATGACAACGCACCTGTCACTGAACACCTCCAAGCACAATGTGCTGGGCTGCGTGCCATGACGCAAAGGGAAGTGAAATGCAGGGTCTGTGCCTTCCGCGAGCTCACAAATTAAAGAGATAACATGCTTTCATGGAAAAAACACACTCAAGGAAGAATGCCACATTAATGATAAGAGCATCAGTGTGTGTTTGCTTGTTCCGCTAAACCTCAGTGAGCCACTTCTTCATGCCATGCTAAGTATTCAGGATAGCAGAGGATAATACTAGGTGCCATCCTGGAGAAATGCAGAGAAGTCACTTCTGCTGAGGAACGCCTCCCAGAGCTGGACCTAGATGGGCAGGTAGGATTTGATACGTATATAAGGAGGAAGCAGGTACCCACACTGGTGGTACAATTGACACCTGGGACCCATGACCTGTGGGACACCCCAGGTGAGTTGGAGGCAAGGTGGGCAGAGGAAGGGGTCAGCTCGGGAAGAAGATCTGAGTAAGAGTAAAGAAGCAGTTTGGGCCAGAAGGACGTTTGGAAGCAAATGATAAAGTGTCCCAGATGGTGCCCAAAGACTGCTGGGCTTCAGGCTGTGGGAGCCTAAAGCTACGGAGGCTGTCTGATGTGTGGCTGGACCCTCCAAATGCCCCCCAAAAGTTCCTGCCGCTTCCAAAGAGAGTGGCAGATGGCTCTGGGTGGGGCTGAGTTTTTAGTGTGGGGATGTGTCCCAGAAAAGATCATTCCTAGCCCACTCGGAACGCACCTCTTGAGTTCTACCAGTCCGACCATCCACTCAGCTGTAGGATACACAGAATGAAACTTCCATGCCTCAGGCAGGTGTGCGCGCACGCGCGTGTGTATATGCCTCTGTACATGTGCAACTCCTGGGCACAGGGTGTTATGTAAGCCACCCCTAATGTCCCTGCCCAACAAGCAGCCAAAGGATTGCGACA